GTGGGGCAGGGATGCAGTCAAACTCCCTGATAGTTGATATGGGTGTAGGGAGTGACTGGTTAAGAACTTGGCTTTGGTATCAGGTAGCCTGAGTTCAAATGCCTGGTCTGCCACTTACAGCTGGTGGCTTTGGGCAAGTTCTCGACCTCTTTCAGCCTCAGCTTCCTCTGCACACCAGAGGCAGTAAGGCCTGTATCAGAGGGGCGTGGTGAAGATCCAGGGAGATGCCGTGGCACATTGTCTAGCACACAGCAAATGCTGGACCAGAGTTGGCTGGTATCTTTGCAGTTCAGATGTCCAGGTGGAAGACCCAGGGCATCTCTGCCTGGGCTCTTTAAAGGTCCTTAGGGAGAGGAGGGCCCAGCAGTCAGCCCTCCCAGGCCAGGCTGGTGGCTGAGACCCCACGGATCCTTGTCATCGCCTCCAGTGAGTGGGGGACGCAGCATTCATGCCACCCATACTTACAGCGCCCAGCTCACTTGGAGGTCCCGCTTGACCCTGGTGTTCCTGTAATCCTGAGAAGCTGCCTGACAGCTGCCCCAGGCTAGTGACTCACTCCCCACAGCTGACAAAAGCCCTGCTGTTTCTTGCACCAGTGCTGTCTTTCGGAGGAACTGGTCATCTTCACTCACAACGCATCTAGGCTCTCAGTGACTCACTGGTACGCTGCCACAGGCCCCACGAGCGCCACCATCTCTCCCTCTCCTGCCCCCCTCACCTGCCCTGGAGAACATGGGGGCACTCACGGGCTGAGAGGACCGCACTGAAAGAGGTGCTGTCAGTGAACGACTCGCCAGCAAGTCCTTTCTCCCCTCTGGGTCCTATGCACAGGAGACAAAACTTGTGAGCCCTGCCCCCAGCCCTCGTCAGTGCTTGCCTCCTGGGGACTGCTTGGAGGGGTGCTGATGGGGGGCGCCCCTCTCCCAGCCCAGGGCACGGGGGGCTGAGCGGAGTAGCGCAGGCCTGGAGTTAACTGGGAGCATTCCTGCTTGCAGCTGAAACAGCCTTAGGGAGCGGGACCAGCTCTTCTGAGCCTGATTGTGTTTAGAATTTGGATAAATCTCTGCACAGTGGCATGATTATTATGGTCTTTAGGAGGCCTCTTAAAATAGCCACGATTTACCCTGGGACCACAGAGCCTTAATCTCCTTGTCTGGAGGACCCCTACCTTCTCAGAAAAATGGAAGGAGGTGAGAGGAGGTGTCTCCCCTTGCAGTTGAGGTCCTGAAAGGCCCATGGTGAAGAACCACGTCACCCCCTCACCTCCCTTCCCAAACTGCATGTCTTTCACCTCACTTAGAGACCAAGACCTGAGTCCGGCCCGGGGCATGGCCCTCCTGACTGAGCCTAGTCATGCATTCTTCCGGGACTGACATACCTTGCTGTCCTGGGAGGCCAGCTGGTCCTACAGGGCCTGAAAATGGGGTTGGAGAAGAAAAGGCTTTGTCACACCTCTAGGGTCACAGTTCTAGAAGGAACTAAAGAAAGGACAGGTCTTGGTGCACATGTATCTTCCTCACCCATCATAGAACAGTGGCCCAGAAAGGTTAGCTTGCTTATGTTGAGAGCAATAAGCAGTTTGAGACCAACGTTGTGGTTCCCCCACATCCCCTGTGAGAATTCCTTTGCCAAGCCCCAGGGCCCCTGGGGAGGGGGGGACTGCCCTCTTGGACACTGTCCTTCAATGTTTGGGGACTTCTAAGTGCCCCCAGTGTCCCCACCTCACTTATCAGGAGGGAAAGCTGATCCATACTTGCATTGGTTATATTAAATCACATATTTCATTTACACATAAAATTTTTAAGTAATTGAAAACTGGCTACCATGGGGGAGGGGTTGGGTTGGGTGGTAAAGTAGATGAAGAGGATAAAGAGACAAAAACCTCAGTTATAAATGAATCACAACAGAGAAAGTGCAGCATAGACAATATAGTCAATAATGTAATATCTTTCCGTGTGGACAGATACTAACTACACTTTTTGGAGTGAGCATTTAATAATGTAGACAACTGTTCAAAAGTTACAAAATGAAAAGCAATACAACAAAATAATAAGCATTTTGGAAACATAGAAAAAAAGTATCACTGATAATTCTTTAACTTGTAAGCATTTTATTTCCCTCCAGTGTTTCTTCTTTTTTTTTTTTTTTTTGCATCTTGTAAAAATACAACTGCAAACACAGAGCACACTTTATCAAGTATCCTGCTTTTTAAAACTCCACTATTATCTCCTAACAACTTTAAGTCTTCGTATTTTTGTATCAATCTCACTGTTTGGGGATTTTTTTTCAAATAGATTCCCAGCGTTTTTGTTGCCCCTGATGTATATCAGAGGGCAGAGCGCTCTGACTGGGCAAACACAGGCTCAGAAGGCAGAATGGCCTGGGTCACATCCGGACTCGGCTACTTCTGAGCCCTATGACCTTGGGCAAACAGTTTACCTCCTGGAGCCTCCAGCAGTGCTGGGGCCTAGTGAGCAATGCCTACAGTGTTTGGGGGGCCTAGTGAGCAGGGCCTCTGCGGTGCTGGGGACGCTTGCTGGTGTGTGATGAAGGCTTGCTAGGCTCTGCGGAGGGGCTCCTGACGCTTCCCTGGTTCCTCCCTGCGTTCCAGGATTTGAGCAAACACTGCTCTAGTCAAATGTAACCAAGGTGCTGCAGATTTGAGGCCAAGCAAGAAAACAGACTAACCTGGGGCACCTGGGGGGCCTGGGGGTCCCATGGCTCCAGGAGGTCCTGGGGGTCCTGGGGCAGTGATAGCTGATGATCCCTCTGAAAACAAAAGGCACAGGGAACTCACCCCATTTTTCCTCAGAGGTGCTGGGACCCAGGCCAGGCTGTGGGCCAGGTCGGGCCAGTGCCCCTTGCTCTCATTACCTCTGAACTGCCCCCGCCCCTTCTCTGCTGACCCGAGGAGCTCACCGCCACATGCTGCCAAAGCACTGGGCCCTCACACTGGCACTGGCTGGAGGGCGTTAAGGCAGAGCCAGGGCAGATGCCCAGTGAAGAAGAAAGACTCAAGAAGGCCCCTCCCGGGCCTGCCTACCTAAAGTCACGATACTGCCTGGAGTTCCTGGTTCACCTGGGAGGGGAGAAAAAGAAGGGGGTGGTTCCCAGGATCAATTAGTAGCTCAATAAGTCATTTCCAAGGCTTTTGATTACACTAGAGACCATTCCTGGGCCTCTAACCCTCAAGCTAAAAGCTTTTTATGAACTGAAGGGGAGTGTGCAGGGTGCATTAAGCACCAACCTCTCTGCCTGAGGTCCCAGAGGCCAGAGCATCAGTCTCCAGGGCCCACATCAGCTTTTGGAAGAAGCTCTTTAATGGGGCTTCACTTAAGGGTATTGGAGACTGCCTTTCCCTGGGGCTGGAATAAGGCTGACTGAGGTCCTCCACAGCCCACACTCTATCCTCTCCCACCGCAGGTATCTCAGGCCCTTACTGGGAGTAGCTTCAGGTGGGAAAATTACCAAGAGGTCAAAGGACAGAGAGTGAGCTTTTGAGGTAGAGCCTAGTCCACAGTGTCCCTCAGGACCCCAGTTCCCTGGGACAGTAGTAGGGGCTGTGCAGAGGTAGGAGGGGGCTCTGTGGTTGGTAAGTCTGGGAACAAAGTTACACAAAGGCTCACAGATCTCTTTTCTGCCATGTGTTTCAGGGGAGGGAAAATGCAAATATTCGTGGAGGACTTCCAAGAAGGGGATGTTGGAGGCTCTTCCCAAACTTTTGGCCCCGTGATGCTGTCTTGAAGCATCTTTTGGGATTGGAAATCCACAGACTCTGGGGAACCAAGCAAGTGAAGTAAAGGATGGTAAGCCTTCTACTTGGTATTCTTCAGGGGCCTCTGGGCACACCAAGGGACCCTGTTAATTTCTGCCTTAGGGGAAGTAGAGGGATGGTCTCTGCTTGCTACCTGCCAGCCCCTGGGGGCCAAGCCAAGAGGAGAAGCACTTGTGTTTGTTTTGTTGGAACACAATCCAGTAAAAGGTAAAATGTCCACCTCTTGTGACATTGTCTAGGCAGGGTCTGAGATCCCTCCTGGACAGAAAGTCATGGGCTCTTAAGGGCAGTGTGTCTGGCATCCTCAGGAATCCCCAAACCTTCCTGTCCCAGGGAAGTCACGTTACATGGGGACCAAGCCTCAAGAGGAAGATAGTGCAAAACAGGGCCATTTTAGAGGTGAGTCAGTGGGCAGAAAGGCTCTGGGGGCAGCACCTTTATGGATCCTCCTCTACATGCAGCCAGGAGACTTCCAGGTACCAAAGTGAGGCTCAGGACTGTGGGTCGGCAGACATGGGGGCAGCGTGGGGCTTGAGCATCAGGACAAACCCCGGGCCCCTCAGCCCCAAAGCCTTCTGCTGAAGCCAGTAGATGCCACTGTTGGTCCAGGTTCTGGCCAGAGAGAGCCCTCTTTCCTGCCAATCCCTCCCCTCCTGCAAAAAGAGCTAGTGAAAAGAAAAACTATCTAATTTGTAAAATCACTTACCTTTAGTTCCTGGTCGGCCAGGAGTACCAGGAAGTCCTGATGTGATTAAAAACAACCAAGTGAGGATGATTAAGGCCCTGAAATCCCAGTCATCTCTGGGAGTAACTAGTGCTCTGTCATTCAGCACGGCCACAGTTGCTGATTGCAAAGCTGGAGACCAACCTGGCTTTGCCTTCTGCTTTCTCCTAAAGGGCTCTTGGGGAGCCACTTCTCTGAGCCCTTCTCCTGCTCTGGGAAATGGAGCAACAGCAGAGCTGGAGGGAGGCACAGCGAATGGTTCACCTTTGGGGGATCCCAGTCACTCTAGGCTGTGAGTCCCCTCCAGCAGCCACTGTCCCCTCCCTCTCATGCAGCATAGGGCAGTAGGGGCTGGACTTCCTACATCTGGTGGAACCCTCACCTTGCTCTGGTCTGATCGCCAGGGAGCCCTGGAAGGGTGTCCCTGTGTACTCACCTTCACATGATCTCATTTTATGTCTTTGCCTGATTTCTTTTAGGAATTGGGGCTGGGTGTGCTGACAATTTCTTAAATCCAAATGGGTGCACACTGGTCCAATTAGAGGACGGACTTTGACACTGAAGCTGTCCCAGGGACACTGGGCCCTTCTGCATGAGGTGAGCTCCCAATCCCCTCCCTGTCAGGGGCCCCTGTGCCCCTGTGGAGGCAATGGAACTCTTGTGCCCAGAGCCTCCCATAGGGTTCCTGCACCAAAGGGGGTCAGGGCTCAGGCAAACAGAGTTGGCACATGACCTAACCTCACTTCTCCCAGAATGGCTTTCTAGGCTCTTCTGTGCCTATTTTTCCTTCCTAAGGTGCTTCTCAAGACTCACAGTAAAAGAACCTGAACTTTATTTTTTGCAGGGGGAGGAGGAAAGGAGAGGAAGCTCTAAGAGGCCTGGAGCAGTGGGTGGTGCTGGGAGGTGGGAGTGGCCTGACGACTCACCTGGTGGGCCTTGGAGTCCTGTGAGACCTATGGAAAATAGAACCCATGAGGGGAAGGTGGAAGGGTCGAGGAAGCACACCCTCAGCTGCAGGAGCAGCAGGAAGGTTTGGGGGCTGCAGCAGGACAAACCCCATGTCTGGGGCAGCTAGACTCCAGGTCCTCTCAGCATTTTGGACTTTGCAGTGCAGTGACTGACACATTGCTTCAGACAATGGTGCTTGGCCTGCTTGGGGTCACAGGCCCGTCGGCACTGAGAGCCGCGTACCCAGAAAGCTCATACACTCACGTACCCCTAATGCTGCGCCAGGCGCCCCCGCGTGGCTCTCTAGGTCTGTGCACAGGCCAGAGGAGCCAGGAGGCCCCGGCTGTTCACGGGCCTCCCCGCTATGAATGCCCCTCCCTCTCCCGGCTCCCCTTGTTTCTGTTTGTTCCTCCTGCAGCCCTGAGGATCTTGCTCCTCCGAGGCCTTTGCTAGAGACCTAACACAGGCTTCTCTCCTCAGACTGGTGGGTAGTAGAGAGAGGGTCCAGGGATGGTCTGAGGGGAAAGGCACAGAGGAGCAAGGTACCGAGGTGGGGTTAGAGTCTGTGGTTTTTAAGAGACTCCTTGCCCCTTTCTAGAACTCCTTGTTTTCACTATTAATTTCTCTCTTCCAAGCTGTCAGAGGTGTAGGACCCACAGCCACTGCACTCAGCACAAGCCAGCTGTGGTGGCAGTTCCCAGCTAAGCTGCTGGAGGAAAATGGGAATAAACATACACACACACACACACACACACACACACACACACGCACGCACGCACGCACGCACGCACGCACGCACGCCCTCATTTGCAGCAGGGCATCGGCTCCCTCCTCCTGCTCTCTTACCTGGCTTCCCGGGATCTCCAGAAGGTCCTTGTAGGCCCCGGGTTCCAGGCATTCCTGGAGGACCTTGTTCACCTGGGGAGAGCATGGCCAACATGGAAATGGTTCCCTTTTAGGAAAGCTGAACCAGCCAGCACACTCAAGCAGAGGGTTTCTTAGGGTTTCACTGACTAACTTGGTCAGCAGGTGGAAAGGAGGAGAACAAGACCTGGCCTTGCAGGTTTCCACCTGAAACATGCCTCTCTGGCACTAGGATTAAGTGCTGCGGGCAGGGCAGGGAGTGATTGGTAGGGGGAGCAGTGAGGGTGAGGAGAACAGATCAATGACCAACCTCTTGGGCCTTGGTGTCCGTCAGGGCCCGCGGGTCCTGGGAAAGCAGAACCATGGTTCATCAGTTACACTGGGAGCTACTTCTGGGACTCCCTGCCTCCACTGCCCAACAGCACTGTAGCCAGTGCCTCCCTGGTGGGGAGCCTATGAAGCACTTCCCATAGCATCAGCCACACAAGCAGCCCAGTCTTTGGATGCAGCATTCCCCCTGCCCTCTTCTCTAAATCAGTAATTGTCTATTTTCCTGCAGAGAATAGTTCAACTCCCCCTGCATCTCAGTGCCTGCTGAAGGACTTGGCACCCACCAGATGCTCACTAAATGTCTGCCTCATTTCCTCAAGGTCCTGAGGTCAAGGCCCTCCAGGTTCTCGCCTCCTCTGCTCTAGGCATTATCTGAACCTCTGTCCAAACGGTGACCTTCTAGACCATGTCTTGCTTTTTCCTGCTTCTTTGTCTTTCCTCACTCATGTTGTTGCCTCTGCAGGGAATTTTCCAAACTGGCTGTGGTTAAAGTCTTTCTTGCTCCTTAGGACCATCTGAAACACTGCCTCCATCTTTCCGGCTGGAGGAAATCCCTCTCCCTACCATGTCCTCATAGCACTCTGTACCTTCCATGGCACTCATCACCTCAGACGAGCTCTCTCCCCCCTTGGGGGAGGTAAAGCATCTTACTCTCCCAGCACAGTGTCCTGCATGTAGTCGGCGTTCCTAACAGCTTGTTGAATGCATGAGAAACTGAATATACCCCATCCCCATTGGTGGGGCTTAAACAGCTGGCCCTCTGAACATCCTTAGCCAACTCCCGTGTCCTGGCTGACAGGCATCTCAGTAAAGGCGAGTCTTGAGACCAGCTCTGGGGTATCCAGGCTGTGCCTGGAACACGGGGTTCTGAAGCACCTCAATGCTTGTCCCTCCTCCCCAGGGACCCAGGGGCCTTAGAGGCAGGAACCAGGCTGAATTGGCCATACCCTTCCAACCCCCCGCCCCAGAACAACAAGAAACCCAGTGACAGCTGCTGTTCTCTTGGCCCCCAGAGGGATGCCTATCCCCAGAAACAGCCTGTAAATGGAGCCTCTGCTGGGGCGTGGGCGGACTAGTGAGCAGGGTGGGAAGCTCTAAAGAAGGGTCTCAGGCCATGACGACACCTAGAAGCAGCAGACCCGCTGCATCTGTCCCTCTGGGACACTTACCCGTGGCTCCTTTAGCTCCAGGCTCGCCCACAGCACCAGGCAAACCTCTAGCGCCAGACTGGCCTGCAAAGGAAATGGGTTAGCTGACTGGAGGCTTTCAGGCTCCACGTGCCTGACACTGACAGAGGGCTCCGCCGTCCTTACCCACCCCAACACTGCCTCTCCTCCACCAGAGGCGTGTAGGGTGCCAGCCACAGGCTGGAGACACAGTCACTTCTACAGTCAGGATGCCCTGAGCAGCAGGCACAGAGCCAAGCCTGTTCTGCAGGGGCATGTGTATGAACCTTACTTCCCTGGCAACAGGGAGCTTGCCAAACTACTCTAACTATAAGTGTCCTTTTTAATGATTCAAGTTGGCAGGCAGTAAGCAGCTGAGACAGTTCTAAGTAGTACAAGCTTTCTGCTACTTTGGTATGAGCTCAATTTTCCCAACGAGATTCTCCAAAAGAATCAGAGACAATCATAAACTCTCTTTTCTGCCCCAAACATTTACCATCTGGAATGTGCATTTTGAAGCTGGCTTATACTCCATTCACTCCTTTATCTCCTCTTATCCTTTTTCTAGATTATAAATTCTCGAGGGTTTTTAGGCAGAGATTCTGTCTCACATTTCTGTATTGTTTTCTACCTCTGTGCCCGAAGGATTTACAAGAACTCTTTAATGGATTGAAGTAGATTGGTGGGCAGGACTGACCTATGAGGCCTCGGGATCCTTTCTCGCCCAGGTCACCTAAAACACACATGGCGGGTGGGGGAAGCAGGAAGCATCAGTGAGGAGTAAGGAGAACCATCTCACCCGCCAGGAGGGCCCCCTGGCTGCAGAACAGTTCTCACTGTACCTGTAAGCTACGGTCAGCAGAAGGTCGGTGGGAAGTGGGTGTTAATTAAGCCAAGGAGCGCGTTTGATCTCCCCCAGGGTCAGGGCCCACCCACAGACAGACCCCAGTGCCTGCTGTGGGCACAAGGAGGACCAGACTTGGCAGGGGTGAGGGGCCTTAATGCTGCACACTCGCCACCCTGAGGACCACCCAACCACAGCTTTGTTTGGGGCTTTGTTTCGCCTCCTTGTGCTCAGTTTCTCTATCTGATAAGTTGAATTAGAATGAGCTCTGAGATCCCTGCTAGCCCAGGGTCCAGGAGCTGGAGTCGTCTGTATCCTCAGACTCTGGTGCAGGGGACACATCTGGGTCCCCAGGAGTCAGGCTGACTACATGATACCTGAGTAAGAGCAGGAGCAACATACCTTTGGGCCCTGGTGGCCCCACAGGTCCTTTGTCACCTGAAAAGGTAATGGTCAACTTCATGTAAGAAGCCTGAGAGGAGACGACCGAGAAGGGGCAGTGTCTGTGTCTGAAGACAGGCTCCCCTGCCATCCTGACCTCCTCTTCCCCTCATGCGCCTGCCACCCTCACGGGCTGTCGGTCACGGCCAGCGGACCCTCCCTGCTCCCCAGACCTTCTTGAGTGAGCGGCATCCATAGCTGAATTCCCCTTCCCTCTGGCCCCTCTCCCAGCTTACCTTTGACACCAGGGAGTCCTACTTCCCCACGGAGTCCTTGGAGACCAATGGCACCTGCAAGCAGAGAAAACCATGCAGGTGGACAAATGTCCCAGCTTTGGGAGAGATGGATATGCACATGGGCACATGCACACAGAGACACACAGGTGTACAGACACACACTCTAGAGTAAAAGTCAAGGGCTGCTCTCTGCAGACTCTTCCCCATGTCCCCGCTACGTATCCTGGTCGAGGTTACTTGCCCTGCGATTACCAAGCTCTGGGCTTGAGGACACCTCATGGGACCCTGGCAGAGACACTGGCCTGCATTACGGTGGGACAGCGGAGGCGATAGCCTGAGACTCCTGAGATGGCAAGAGGCGCTGTGGCCCATAGGGATGACGCAGGATGGGAACTGCCTGCTTCCAAAGCTGCTGGAGGGCTGAGTACCCCAAGCCAGGTCAGAGCAGATCTCACAAGACCTTTGGGCACCCACCGCAGCCACAGGGGACACACAGGTGGACATGAGTCTGTGTCTCCGGGAGGCTCTCTTTATAATCGCTTCTTTTGTTTTAAAAACGTATTTCCTTCTAGCATCCCTTCTCTGCCCCAGATACAGCATCTGTTTATAGGAGGAAGCATACTGACCTGGGGGACCCTGTGGGCCAGGAGAGCCGCTGGAACCTGAGAAGGATGACATGACGATGATCAGAAGGGTCAGCACAGGCCGTGACGAAGGGCAGGTGGAGGGGGCGGGGCTCCCTTCCAGGTGAGGGCTGCGTGTGTGAGC